TTCATAAAATTGAAATATTACTGGCAGGCAAAAAAATACTGGCGGATTGTAAGTGAACAAAAGCACATATATAAAGAATAAACGACCAAACGAGGATATTATGGCCTTATTTCACGTGATGGTAGTAAAGATTTTCTTTAAGATCGTTGACTCAAAAGGTTGTTATTAATAGTTGTCGCCCACGCCTCCTTTCGCGGATAAAAAAAACATAATAAGTAGCCTATATTTTCTTCTAGGATATGTTCTTCGTCTATGTCAAATTTCAGGTTGATACGTTAAGCCATTCGGGAGATATCTTCAAACAAACATCCATCTAAACATTTGTATTTATAATATTAGTAAGATTCTTGATGTACTTTTTATTATTAGAATAACTTCAAATCTTTTTTGCTACATATATCAACTGCGCGTCCACAACCGTCTTTTGTTTTTTAACTAATTTTCCGTATTCGAATTTCAAATACTTTTAAAAATTCAAATTCTTGTAATATCAATGTATTTTTACTTTAATTTTTATAAAATCAATTCCGTATATGATTGGAACATTTTTGTTGACGGTACGCGCGTTTGTTACCACGGATGGGCATTAGAATGTTAAAGGAACGCAAAGGTCAGTGCTAAACAGTTGTACCAGTATCTTCATTTGTTCGTTCTAGTCGATAATTTATTGAATTAAATACCGATGGGGTCACTCCGTCCAGGACATAGTTACAATTAAGTTGACGATGCTATGAGAGTTATTAAAAGTTTATCATTCAAGAATACGTATACAATGTTATATCGACCGTTTCGTATTTTTTTACACTAATTATTGCTATATTGAATAAATGGGAGATATTAAATATTTTGCAATACTCAAGTAATTAGTTCGAGTATTAACCACTTGACATAATTTGAAATTTGTTTTTTTTTCTATTTTCGCAGTTTATTTCATTTACTTTAGTTTCAATTTTCGTAGACCGCTAATTGTTAAACTATTTTGTTGCATCATTTGGTAAGACAAGCGTGTGATTTTAATTATATTTGGATTCGTACAATGATAAATGTATAATAAGATTATGTATAGAATTAACACAAACAATGAGAAAAAATCGTATCTTCTGTGTAAACATAAACAAATAAGGGCTATGGGAAATTTTATTTGTTATTTTTTCCTTATTTGAATTCGAATATAGCGTAAGACACATCGTTATTTACGAGAAAAACTAGTTAGACTATTTTCTTCATTACAGTTTTTGATATATCTGGGCTTAACATTAAACAGTTTTTGGACTTGAAAATCTTACTTCTTCATTATAAATGCGAATGTTTGGATGTATGGATAGATATTTGCTTGAAGGTATCTCCAGAATGACTCAACGAATCACGATGAAATATAGCATGGATGTAGAACATAATTTGGAAGAACCAAAAGCCACTAATTAAGTTTATTTTTAATAAATATAATATAAATATAATAACGGATTATTAATACTGAGTCCGGTATGTCCTTAGCTTTATGTACTATGTTATTATCGATTAATCAAGGAAAGAACAGGATCTTCTTGCGGCGTAAGAATAATTCTATTGCAAACTTGAATCATAATTTTGCAATACTATAATATCAAAAGAAGTCACTTTAAACCAGCTTAACTGATTTAATATTAAGTTACAAATGGGTCTGCATACACTCGAACTCTAGCGAGACCCTTAGGCCCTAATAGTCTAGGGACATAAGGGCCCTTAAGATGTCATCAAGGGCCTTTAACCGGTAATCAGAGAGTGCAAATTTGTCGAAGTTAAATACAGTTTGTAAAAAATAATAGGTGAACGTCATTATTTTCACTTCCGTCTTTTGTCATTAATTAGAGACCTAATAATTATTATGAACTGCTGTCCTTTAAAAATAAATTAGATTAATAATGTATTATAATATTAGCTGGCGCTCGCGAGTCCGCTCGTGCGGAAGAAACACTTAACTATGACGCTTATGCGTTCTTCCAGACTATGTACGACATCTATTCGTTATATATCGTTGAGCTGTTCTGGAGATATTTTCTATCAAACATCTATCCATCGTTCTAAACATTCATGTAGGTATTTCATTCAATACATTGTAGGTATGTCAAAAGGAAATGCCGTGCCCAAAGGTGAAGGCTGTAGAACCACGATCGTCTTTTTTAGGATCGTCTTTTGTTATTTTTATGTTTAAATTATCTTGAACAAATGTTACTGTTCAACTCAGAGTCATTTAGTATTAACCATGAGAGATCCTAAGCGCGGTAATATGAGTGTTGCACAGTAACTGATGTCCCATACTAAAGTAACTATGGATTTTTTTTCTTAACTTTATATTCGTATTTTATGTTGGAGTTTTAAATAAAAAAAAATAGAAGTATGCTTAAAGCTTGTAGTCAGCGCTTTTTAACGAAATATTATAGATGCGAAAGTTTAGATGGATGGATGGATGTTATTACGTATCTCGAGGACAACTCATTGAATCTCTCTGAAATTTGCATAGCTATAGAGCATAATCTGGAAGAACACATAGGCCATTAATTAAGTTTTTTTACTACCGCGCAGACGGAGTCTCGGGCGACAACTAGTCACACATAAGTTGCGTATAAACTATCGTAAATCAGATAGCCAGTGAAGACACTCCTAATGTGGAAATATCTTAAAACACACAAATTAACTTTATAATCAAATACTGTGCCACTGAACGATACTAAATTTTATTCATTTGTAATCGGACTAGATATATTACAAAATGGCAGCATGTTTTGTCTTAATGTATCATTTAAAATAACCCTTCATTTCTTAGTAGTTTGTAATTTGTCTATTAAAATACTTTGTTTAGGTTTTTGTAGCCCTATTAAGTTAAATAACTTATCGTATTAAGTATTAGTAGATTTATCTAATTGGCATTGTTACAGTTGTAAATTTTACAACAGTATCCAATATGTCTAAGTTCACAATTGTTCGGTAACATAAAGATGCATCTAATAAATATTTTATACCTACGTTCCAATAACCTTTAGTAATACTAAACGTTCACAAACAAACAAACAAACAAGCGAACTGTTAAATAATTGTGCGTTACGAACTGAAAAAATGGTAATACAAGACGTTAGATTTTATTCGCTCACGCAATACAACCTCGAGAATGATGCTTCTAAATCGAAAAGATTATTTATAATGGTATCTAAAATGAGGTATATAAGGTCAAAATCATTTTATTTATACCATAACTATAACAGTTATAGTAATAATAGAAAATTAAACTAAGATATTGAGTTAATTGTGTTACTAAACATACATTATCAATTTTAGATATAACTAGCTATTGCCCGCGACTACGACCGCACGAAATAAAGATAACACTTAATTTGTATCCTATGTGTTCTTCTAGACTATGCTCTACATCTGTGCAAAATTTCATCTAGGTCCGTTAAGACGTAGTGCAGATACTTTCAAACCTCTATCCATACATCTGAACATTCGCATTTATAATATTTGTAAGATTGCATTTATAATCAATTTTTTAACATAACATTTTTTTCTTCGATATTTGCAGAAGTCTTTTTAATTTATTTATAATTAGCTGTCGCACGCGTCTCCGTTCGCTTGGCTTAAGAAACGTATGTGTTCTTCATAACTGTGTTCTACATCTATACCAAATTTCAGTGAGATATATGCAGCCGTTCTAGAGATACCTTCTAACAAACATCCATCCATTCATACGTTAGCATTTAAAATTCCCTATCCCCTGTTTAACTATTACGTAAAACATATCTTGTCTGATATAAGATTTTCTATTATATTTTCGAAGGCTTTAAGCAACTAAAAAGAAAATAATAACTTATTAAATGAGAGCCTTAAGTAAAGAAGCTCCCTATCTGTGCAGTTAACCTCGCAAAAAAAACACGTTACCATGTACATTTACTAAGGAATCCGGATATCATTTAATAAAGTAATTCGTAATTTTATTTCTTTTTAAACTTTCTTTTGTTTTATCTTAAACAATAAATTAAGATTTCCTGCACTATTATGTTAATGAAAAAAATGCAAATTTAAAAACTTACGTAGTCTATCAAGATTATTTGTTAAGTTAAAATAATAATATAAACACTTTTATACTAAACTCATAACTCTACAAATACATAATATAAATGCTATATGAAGAAACACAATATAAATAAAGTAGCTCCGCTTAGTAGTCCGCTTGAATATATAAAAAACTTAATTAGTGTAGCCTATGTGTCTTTCAGACTACGTTTCATACGTACTATGTCAAGTATTATCGAGATCCGTTCAGCAGTTCTAGAGATGTCATCAAACACCCAACCATCCATCCATCCACATCACATCCATCTAAACATTCGCATTTATAATGTAAGTTAAATAAAAAGCAGCTCTTCAAGACGTAAATTCGAAAAAAATGAATAAATAGTATCCTATATCCGTTTCCTGGCTCTAAGCTACCTCCTCACAAATTTCAGCTATATCGGTAAAGGCGTTCTTGAGTTATAATATATAGTTTTGTATAGTTTCACAAAATAATTAAATTAAACATTTTATGCTCCTTTAAAATTTGCAAATAATCAAATTATGAGTTCAAAGATATCAATCATTTAAATTATTTCCCACATTAATTTTTTTCATTACCAACATTCACACTCACAGTCGTATAGTATCTACATAAGTAGTCCCTTTGTATACATTTACTGAATCTAAGGAAACTCAAAGTTAATACGACGAAGTTGAATTTAGTTATTTATCACTTCTTTATCTCTTCCATTAGGTCAAAAGGTTAAACGTTTAAATCTAGCCAAATTTTAAAAAGTCTAGAATTTAAAACACAATTGCTACGAAATATCTAATCAATGTTCAAACCGAAAAAAAAAGATGTCAAAAGTTCATTTTATTTATTAGGAAAAGTAGTTTCATTATAATGTATGAATTTTGTAACATACTGCGGTGCGTATAAATAGGGGAGGGAAGCTACGACTAACATCATTCGAGAATTCACCTCCGACCTGTCGCACCAACATCGCCATGCAACTGGTGAGTCCACTTTTATATTCAATGTTATAGCTTGTCATAGATTACACTAAGCTAATATCATTGTTAAGTAAAAACTAAGGGATAACGAAGTATTATCAGAGATTTTTAAAATTTCATTAGGCTTTTTATAATATTATGTTTTTGTTAATTTAATACTGTAGTTTAATTTTTTATATTACGTTTTTTCTTTATTTATTTTACTATCTCACTCTTACTAAAGTTATAAATGTGTTTGGATGGATGGATGGATGGATGTTGGAAATTAAACACACGTACGGAGTCGCCGGCGACTGTAAGTTATTAAAAAACTCAAGTTTAAAAATAAAGTACGAGAACTTTAAGTAAATCATTTTACAATACGTTAAATTAAAAAAAAAAATAACTGCTATATATTATGCTATATTTCGCAGTTCATTGCGTTAAAAAGATTCAGCTGTCTTAGATAAAAATTAGTCAACGTTTCTAGAAATTCGTTAACAGAGTATTACACAAAGACGTCTGGGCAATTATGTTGGTTAATTGATGCTTTTAAATATTGCCTAACATATCAGTGATGCGTGAACACGGAATGAGACATAATATATTTAACATTTAATTAATCAAAGTATTATAATAGTTGTTCTGATAAAGTTTATTATGTTGAAAATTAATATTAAACGAGTCCTAAATCTATGATATTAAATAAAATATTTTAAATGAATAATTAACAAAAATATATTATTATAAGAAATCCCTTTAGGTAAGGTTACGAAGATACTGGTAGCGTTCCCCCTTTGAATAGCTAAAGTAATTCAGCTAATCTTTATATATATAATTCTTCTGTGAGTGTGTATGTCACTGAACTTCTCTCAAACGACTGGACCGATTTTGATGAAATTTTTTGTGTGTGTTCAAGGGGATCTGGGAATGGTTTAGATTAACAATTTTCGTCAAATATTAACTTCATAATAATTTATTCAAATTAAAGACGTGTAGACAGGACAACGTCTGTCGGGTCCGCTAGTTTACTATATAATAAGTAAGTTTGAATGTGGATGTATGGAAGACATGGATTGTTTGAAAAATATTTGAAAGATAGGACAGCTGATAGAGATGTATGGGAAAGTAAATGTCATAACGACTCTCAGTAGAGACAAGGATAGGTTGATGATGACTAAAATCTTATTGGCCCTATAAATTACATAACTTTAGTTTTTTTCTGATATTATTCTGAGATGATCTATGATACTCATCTGAAGCCTTTAATATTATTAAATATGCCTTCTTATAAAAATTTACTTCATTACTGATTCATTTTAATCATTTTTTGCGTAATGACATATCCTAAATGATTTTATGTGAAAGGACATTAAGATGTTGCAATGCACCAGTGGAATACCATCGTAAATGCCTTTTAAGATGCGATGCAGTTTTGATAAACTCAAATAACTGCGCATAATAAATGCATAGTAAAGAGATGCAATTTAAAAACAATGCAGTACTGTCGTACCGTTTTATTTCGTCTTTGTTTATGTTTTTTTTTGTTCGAATGAGAAACAATGTATTCGATTGTTAAGAATACGTGCCTTTATTTGGTGAATGAAGGAATTTATGTAGTATGATTAATTTAGTACTTAATGAGATGGTCAAACTGACTTATTCATTTGTTTTACTTATACTACGAATATATTTAAGTATGCTTAAGTAACAAAGCAATCATCAGCTTGTGTCGGTCAACTGCTCGACATACGCTTGACATAATCCTGTCCAATGCTTTAAATAGTCTGTAATTTTACTCTTCTCATCTCCTGCAACTATGTCGTTAGCACTTTAATAAAAATAAATCACCCCATGAATACACATACTAAAGCTTCTTATTCTTATTAAATTCAGATACTCATCGCCACCCTGATCGGCTTCGCCGCCTCAGCGTTCGCGCCAACTTACGAGTCCAATAGGCCTCAGGCGTCGTTAGAGAAGAATGCCCGCATTCTAGCTTACGACGCGGACGTCAAGGAAGATTCCTACAGATTCAGCTATGAAACTGAGAATGGAATTAAAGCTGAAGAACAGGGACAGGAGGTAAGAATTTATTAATCATTTTATGAACACTAAAAAATTAAAATACATAAATAATGTCAAATCAAAAAGAGAATTAAATAATTTGTAGAATTATTTAATGTAATGTTCTTCACTAATTTAAACGGGCATTTTGGTCTCAGAAACCCACGGTAAAAAGACTGTAGTGTTACATAAGGAATCCAAGACTAGTCAATAACGGAACGAATTATTATTAACGTTTTTTGACAAAATTATATAGAACTTTTCATTTGTCATTAATGTTCTTTAGTCACTATAATAGTCTTAGGTCTTAGGAGTAGACATTTACACACATTTACATAGGAAAAAAATGTCAATAAATGTCAGGAGTCTGCATCTCATAAATAAAATGTTAATGCAGGTCAAAGATCAACTGAATCATGACATGCCAGCAGACGCACCTGTACAGAGCGCGAGGGTCAACATAATTATGTGGGACTAGGCCTCGATTTAAATTACATTTTTTTATGATTTATGATTTACCTTGTATTTATAATGACATGTTTTAAATTAGTATTGCAGTAAATAAACAAGAAGAATAAAGGTTTTGGTCCAGTGCATGTTTGTTTCTAAATTAAGCCTAGAGAATTAATGATAAACATTTGAATAGACGCGTAAAGTTTTGTAGTTTTCATTAATAATTTTAATTTAAGAGTGTGATATTTGACCAATATTAAATAATATTAAAATGTCTGAAAATATAATAACAAAATATAAATAAAAAAATAAATGTCATATCTAAACTTTAAAACGTAGTCACCCTATTCAAAGACGATCCCATGTGTTAGATTGCAAAGATGAAAAGGGCAGTGGCCACCTCTGCCGACCGATATTTGAAAGGTCGCGTACATTATGCAAACGACCTACTTGTAGATATAATTATACATTCTAATATAAATCATTTTTGAAAGGATGTGAAGGTTTATGTTAACCTAGTAATTACTTATATTTAAATTAATCATCCGACAGCGTCGGTGGCTCAGTGGTCAAGCACTTGACTTGCAATCTGCAGGTCCTGGGTTCGAATCCCGCCATGTACCAATGTGTTTTTCGATTTCCGATTTACATATGTACAGTTATCCGACGTTCTTACGGTGAAGGAAAACATCGTGATGCAACCTGCACGTATCTGAGAAGAAATTCAAAGATATGTGTGAAGTCAACCAACCCGCACTTGGCCAGTGTGGTTGACTATGGCCTAATCACCCTTATTTAGGGTAGGCTCCGAGTCCCTCAGTGGGGACGTATAGTGAGCTGATGATGATGAAATTAATCATCTGTTAATATCTGCACTAATCGTTGGTTTATGAGACCAAAATGTCTATGGAAAACATATTGTCATCCCTGTCATCACAAACAATAAGTTTTGTGGGATTTTGGGCTCAGAAACTCACTGTTAATCTGTCACATGTCAGATCTAGTGCAAGGATGATTGTGACGTCATTGTTAAAGAATAAATCGTTGTGAGATTTGACCTTGCAATTTTTATTGCCTTTAAATACCATTGATATTTTTCTATTAGTATATTTAAAAAGATTATTAAGAAATCAAAAGATACTATAGTTAAGAAATTATTTTTCTTTAAAATCGTAAATTTTTCTTTTTTAGAACTTTTTTTTTTTATCTCATATTATTATTATAGGCCTTGACTGTAATCTTTTTAACATTTGCATAACGAATCAACGTGCTACAGTTTCGTAATAAGTCGATGTAATCATCATTAGGAAGAGGAAATTGATATGTGAAACATCGAGCTGACTTGAATGACTGAACGAAATATAATATCACATAGTAAGATTGTGATATTTATTGATTTAATCATTAACTAAAACTCCAATAAATTTGTACAGCGTGAACTTATATAAAAACGGCTAAACACTCACGTATATTCGTCCTGTGGCAGACCGACTAGTTTCGAGCCCATCGGGGGCCCTTCATCAGGATGAGTAGTGCTGGTATTATTTCGCGGACGCGGCCTATCCCTCACTTTTTTATATCAGTTTAGTATAATGTCTCACGAAAGTTTGAATAATTGTACAGCGTGATTAAAAAAAAACGATTTTACAATTGTAATAAAACAAAAGAATACCTTAATGCTATTATAATACTACAATATTTAAAAATATACACGGGCAAAAAATATTGCTAATGCAGTACTAGAGGGTTTAGATAAAATGCATTCGCTTCGAAGCGATTCCATAAATTTCATAAATGTATGAAATTAACGCGCAACAATCACATGACTTATCGAAAGTGATTTGACTTTTTGAAGTTGACTATGGAATCGACTCAAAGCAAATACAGTTTATCTAACCCAGAGACAAGAGATTCGTAAATGACCATTAGTATAACACAAATTAATATTTTTCTTAGTTATTAGTATGATTGAATTCAAAAAATTTGTATATTATTCTACAAAATTTCCAATTTCCAGGTCGAGGGTATTGAAGCTCAAGGTGGTTTTCAATACACCGGTGATGACGGCCAGGTGTACGCAATCAGCTACTCAGCCGGTCAAGCTGGCTTCCAGCCCCAGGGCGCGCATCTGCCTACCGCTCCCCCCACTCCTGAGGCCATCCTCAAGGCTCTAGCACAGAATGCCGCTGATGAGGCCGCTGGTATTATTGATGATGGTAAGTAATCTTAAGTTAATCTTACTTCTTACTAATATTATTAATGCGATGTTTAGATGGGTGGATGGATGGATGTTTGAAAGTACTGAAAGAAGACATAGGCTACTAATATACCTTTTTTAATTCCTAGCGGGTGAAGTTGCGGGTAACAGCTAGTTTAAAATGTTAAAACTATAAATTAATACCCATTTAATATATACATAAGTTAATATTCATACTAAAGATATGCAACGTTTCATAATTAAACAAGGAATTTTGTTTGTCACTTTACAATGCTTCAATCGTTGAAGCGTTATAAAGATTTGCATAACGCTTGTTCAAACTGTTTCCAGCTCAATGATTGATTGTACTTAATTATGAATCTAGACAAGCGTATTAGCCAGACCGTAATTCTAAAGCTCATATATCCATGTCTTACTTCTTTACAAAGCTTGCCCGCTTTACACCCAAACCCACTTAAGTCACTTTAAATATTATATATAAAATTCTGGTGTCACAATTTTCGTTCCCATATCCTCCGAAACGGCTAGACCAATTCACATGAAATTTTGTGAGCATATTGAGTAGGTCTGATAATCGGCCAACATCTATTTTTCATCCCTTAAATGTTAAGGGTAGTCCACCCCTAAATTTATTTGTTTATTGTTTAGACAAACACGAGGACTGAGTCGCGGGCGACAGCTAGTATTTCTCTAAATTTCTACACACAAATAATCAAAATCTCTGCCAATCTTCGCAATTTCTATCAAATCTATTATCAAAGTACATCGTAAATAACAGCTAGTCGATTCCTCTGGTCGTTTATACGGCTTAACCGGCTGACCTATCACATTAAACCGCCCATATTGCGACGCAATTGCTGGGTAATGTGAAAATAATGGCCTGAATATACGTAAGTCTTATTTGCAATATCAAGTAGTAGAAAAACATGACTCTTTTAATGGATAAAATGGAGCTCTCTTAGAAATTATAACGTTTAGATCATTGCGATCTTGATGCGAATGTGTGCATGGATGGATGATTGTTTGAAGGTATCTCCAGAACTGCTCAACGAATATCGCTGAAATTAGGCATAGATGTAGAACATTGTCTGGAAGAACACATAGGCTACTCATTACGTTTTTTTTTATTCCACTCGGATAGAGTCACGGCAACAGCTAGTATCCTTATAGCTGTATGTCTAGAATCTTTCACTAGTGACCTTATGCTCGATGAATTAATTCGTAAATTCATTATTTTTATAATTGTCTGTCTGGGAAGAATTTATGCAAAGATAATTGAATAGACTATATCACGAATTGAACACGTCCGAAAACAATGCGGTTATCTGTTATTATCAAATAACAATCGTGCGACCGCAAACATGTTACACCACGCCGACATATGCATCTTACACCACTGGCCTGTTGTGAACAAGTCTTGGTGATGATACAAGTGGACTTGCTTTTTTGCTATATATATCTGGCAGTTAAGATTGCTATGAAGAAAAAAAAATATTACGAAGAATGTAAAGATGGGATCTTCAGTCTTTTCTACTACAGCCGGCAGTCTTTGGCATTTTTAACAGACTTCAAAAATGAGTTTTTCAATACGTCTGTTTTGTTATTTTTAAGTCCAATTCCCGAAGCAGTGTATATAGCCTAGCCTAAATGTAAAAACCAGATGAATCCAACTGTGTTGGAGTAGCTTTTAAATATTTTAGACTCTTTCTATTAACATTTGGGACTTAAATAATACTTATTTTCTAAGGATATTTTGGTACATTTTTATAAAATTGCTTTTACGATAAAAAAAAAATGGAATTTAAAATAATAGGCCGCATCCGTTTTCACACGGTCTTTGTCCTTGCACCAGGAGTTAGGCTCAAAGATGTTACACACTGCACCGACCTTTGTGTATTGCACAATGACCTCTCACTCTGAATCACATTTATAGAACCGACAACCAATTTATTTTGCACCTTCATTTATCTTATGCTAATAGTAATAAAGTTTAAATTACCATATTCAGGGTAAGTTGTTTGTTGGTTATGTTTATGAGAAGATTTCAAATTATGATTTGCGGAGTTAGATTTAATGAGGAATGTAGATTGTGTTTTGTTTTTATGGAGTTCATTATAAAAAGGTTTGTAAGCTCGTTAAGAACTATTATTTGTTTAATCTGCAATTAACTTTGAGCAATTGACGGAAATTCTATTAATTAAATATAATAATATATTAAGCTTATTACAATCCTCGTTCGTTTAACATATTAAATTTATCCAAAGGTTTAGATGGTGTAACTTCTTTTGTCGACTGTACTGAAAAATATGTAATTATCTCCTTAAACTGTATTTATTTTTAAAAAATACTAAATATGTTTATCCTTCCAGGTCAATACAACCCGGGTAAATACGGTGGTGGCCAGCAACAACAGTACCGCGCTCAGAACACCGGATTCCGACAGGCCTACAAATTCTAAGCTTAGCAATTGCCAGTATTAAGTTATCATCGATATTAAAGGAGTTTTTATTCGAAATTTAGAGCGACCAATTATTACTGGTTGTAAAGAAAATCCGTATTTGAGAATACAATGATTCTTATTTCTTAAATGAATTAAGAAATTGTTTCCTTTAAGACTTCAATTATTATTTTCAATAGATAATTTAAAATTAATTTTACATTTTCTATTGACTTTAATTTTTCAAATCCATATTTTGTCTTTTTTTATTGACTAAAACTTGATCTATTTTGTACGTCTTTGAAAATGCTCGCTCTATATTTTTTGAGTGAAAATTTCTTTATAATAACAATCTTCTCTGCCTTACTAGTATCTAAGAAAGCGTGCGTGATCATATTATAGTGTTTAATATTGGATAAAAATGTATTACCATAGTCATATCGATTACCAGTGAGAAAATGAGGCGATTATTTATTCTATGAATAAAATCTTTTTTTATAATTTCGTATATTTGATATTTTATTTTGAATCCTATTTAAAACTAAATAAAAACCTTATTCCTTTCAAAAAATAAAATCGGCAAAATGTCTACAACACAACAAAAATTTGGGATTAGCATCTAATAAGGTATTTCAAGAAGAATTCTATTGAGAAATAACCTAACCTTAATTTAAAAATCAATCAACCCAACTGACTAAGGCTCTAAAGATGAAATAGCGCCATCTATTCATTGCTTTTCAAAACAAATATCTTTTTAATTCAAATTAAATAAACTCTTGCAAAAGTAACAAACGACAATCATATTTATATTGCAGACGATCGTCATCAGCTCACTATACGTCCCCACCGTGGGGTTCGGAGCCTACCCTAAGTTAGGGGTGATTAGGTCATAGTCAACCACGTTGGCCAAGTGCGGGTTGGTTGACTTCACACATATCTTTGAATTACTTCTCAGTTTTAGCAAACGATAATAATTCTAAATTAATCAAAATTGTTTGTGGTTTTAAATATTCTATTTATTAAATAACTGAACGTCTATTTCATTTGTTTCTTCTATTTCAATGATTTTTACATCAATAAGTATATCCAGTGTTGGCGTTAAAATTTCCAGAGCCAGATGAACCACTTCCATAGCCGCTTTGGCCAGGTCTGCGATTGCCAGATTGTTCCGGATGATACTGACCTGTAAAAAAAAACTTTTTAAATCATAGAGTATTTGCTTATGTTATTTTTTAAAAAATCACAGACAAATTTTGGTCAAACTGGATTTTAGGAAGAATTTCACAAATTTTATTTCCTAATGTCCAACAAAGTATTCTAGATAAGCTTGTGTTAGTAAGAAAATCCAACACTGTGCCGGTGTACTGGCGCAACCTTAGCCTTACTAAAATGTCGACGGTTATGTCCCCTCACTTATCATTATGACACTTGACTTTGTAATGAAAGCACGCCATTCGAAGGATTCTAATTATTAATGTCTAAAACTAGGAAGCAAAGGTCCCTTGTATTAGATAATGAACTAAGTCATCTAGTTCAAGTCACATTACATAAGTTATATAAAAGTTACAGCAAAGTTGAGGGAGTGATTTACCATCATCAAATATCCCAGCAGCTTCATCCTTAGCATTGCGATCCAATGCTGCAAGTATAGCTTCTGGTGTTGGAGGAGCAACTGGTAAATGAGCACCTTGAGGACGGAAACCACCTTCTCCCGCTGTGAATGTTATGGAGTAAACGTTCCCATCATCGCCTTTGTATGCAAAACCTCCTTGACTTTGAGATGCGTCGCCCGCCTCTTCAGCGCGTATACCGTTTGATGTTTCATACGAGTAACGGAAACCTGGCAAGAGTAACAGAAAAAAAATATTACAAACTAGTTCTCACCTTTTAAACCTTCCCTAGACCTCCAGAAACATTTTAAGACCAAGATGATATAAATCCGTTCAGCCGTTCTCGAGTTCTAGCGAGACTAACGACCAGCAATCGCTTTTTTTATATATAGACTGTTTTCTATTTATATAATCTAAAATATTACACTTTTATCAAGGAGGAATACCAAACTAAGCAATTGAAAATGGGGAACTAGGGCTAGAATAATGTCGAATCTGCATACTTGTACACAGTCAGTTTTATGCACCTGCTACTCCTATCTGTACCTTTTCATTATTATTTTGGACTATCATTCCTCGTTCTTATACTCAAACAAAAAAATGTACTACTCTACGGGTATAAAAATTAGACTTACCATTTTCATCAATTTCCTGATTTTGTTGCAGAATAACAGCGTTCTTTTCTATTTCTTGCTGCGGGCGTCTGTTCCCTGTATCATAAGCACCACCGGCTGAAGATCCACCACCGATATTACCCCCTTGATTGGGTGGTAGATAACTGTTTGATGATGAACTTCCTTGGTTAGGAGGTAGATAGTTACTTGAAGGAAGCTTGGCTGCTGTCGCCACAGCGATGATGGTGAACGAAACAATCTGGAATATAAAAAGTTTTGATTCAGAATAAATGTAAGCTTTAATATATTCAATTATTTGACTTATAAATTTAGAAAACGACAATAAGTTGATAGATTCTTAGTACTTATCCTGAATTATTCATTCAAATTTCTTTGAATTGAAAACTTTAAAATTAAAACTTACAAATTTCATGTTGTCTAGATGGTTTTCTGTGCAGACAAAGAAGTTTGGATATGTAATGTGACCACGATCCCAATGTAACACTTTTATATAAAACCCGAAAACCATTTAAAGTATTAAACTGCATATTATCAGATGACATCGATTTAATTGTAAACCTTGACTGTTCAATTACTTTCGGAAGAGCTTTACTTTCGAAGAATGCGATCGTATAAGCGGGGTTATGAGAATAAATGCGTTTGTTTCTTATCAACTATCAAAAACAATTATAAATATCATCCAAACGTACAACAAACATAGGCAGAAAATTCATCAATTTTTATGAACATTTTTTTATTTATTGTAGAGATTTTTTTGAGAAGACACAACGAGTAACTGTTAAATATTATGTATTCACCCTTAAATATGGCTATCTATAAAACCACACTCTACGGAACAGCTTAGAAGAAAGGAATAAAACTTTATTAAATATTATTATTACATTTATTAAAAATTAGTTATAGAAAAGTTTACTCTTTTAAGAATAGTTTAAGCGCCATCTATGTACAAACTATGATACTTCTAAGATTGAATTGATTTGGTAAACGTAGTTAAATAATGTCTTGAAAATTAAATAATAGATGGCATACTTCTTAATTTTTTTCAATTATTTTTTTACTAATTTTGAAAATTAAACTGTCGGTCCATCATGAGGACATTATCTACTGTATGAAGAGGATAATTTTTTATATCTAATGTACTTATTATTAATACACATTTTATCTAATTTAGAAGCAACTACTTAATATGTCTAAAAAAATACTAAAAGCTTAGCAACGCTTCTGTTTCCTCGACCTTTTTTTCATAGTTAACAATACGCGAAATACTTAACGCCTACAATAAAAATAACCTTTAAACATGTCGATTATAAAAACATGATATAAAATAGCATGTTTTTTTCTAAGATACAACATGGAAAGCCGCAGTTAGGGCTAATGTTACAACGACATAAGTCATAGAAAGAAGTAGTTAGCGACATGAACCTTCTCCTACATAGGATACAGTACCTTTAGTTAGAAAGGCACTTAACTTCTTACTTTTTATTAATTTACTAATATTATGAATGCGAATGTTTTAATGGATGTTTGTTTGAAGGTATCTCCAGAACGGCTGAACGGATCGCAACGAAATTTGACATACATATAGAAAATAGTCTGAAAGAACAAGTAGGATACTAATTTTGTTTTTTTTAATTCCTCGCGGACGGAGTCGCGGGCGACAGCTAGTATGTTATAAATATGAATTTTTGGATAGATACATATAATAGATATATTATATGTATGAATATTTGTTAGAAGGTACATCCAGAACGGCTCAACCGATCTCGATGTTATTAGGCATTCATGTAGAACATATTATATAGTTCGGTCATTTTTTTATTTTATGCGGACGGAGCCGCGGTCGACAGCTAGTTATAAATGTAACCAAATATGCTGTAACTGAATACATCGACTTCTAACCTACGCGGTTGTAATATAAGACAATCAAGTAAACGGCCTTAAACACACAATTTGTGAGGTGAGATAGGATAAGTATAATTTTACTACGACTTTTACAGACAAGGTTGTCCTTTCATTGCTTCTATATTGTAGCTAAGACACCGATCGCTGGATAACTCTGTTAGTATGTAATCTTACTAGTTATTTTACAAACTGACTGAAAATTATGGAATCAATTCATTTATAGTCTGCCTTATTATATTTGGACATTTAATAAATACTCGAAATAAAATTGTGATTTGATTTTTTTTCTTTAAAGATAAAATAATAACAGTTATCTATGATGTTTTTTTCAGTTTGTTTTTAGTTTGTAATGTGATTGGTAAGTTTATAAACTGACGAAGTTCTAAGTCGTTCGGTGGCAGTGACAGTAGTTTAAAATTTAAGCACATAGACCCATGGGTCAAATCGCTTCCTGACGAACTACTGTGATTTGTTGCATACTGATTGTTCCTTCGATGTTGATATGAACGCAGTGTTTATGTAAATCGAATCGATTTATTAGATGACCACAATAAGAAGGAATTATAGTGCGTGATTCGATAGTTGAATTTTAGGAATGAAAAATGGGCACTTTGCCTGTGATGTTTTCGATTAAGTAAATTATAGGGTAGTGTACCTAGCATGAATATTTGTGATAAACGCCATCGTATCGTCATCGATAACTGCAGCGCCCCCTATCTGAAATTTTACAATTACGATGAAGATACGAAGGCGATTGTCGTATTCAATATTGATTTTTCGTATGACAAATACTCACGCAAGACATATTGACCTTTATGATTTATTCTTTACAAGTGTAAAATATCTAAAATTTTGTTTCAGTTTATTTTTTGTCTTACCTCTAACTATGATCGAGTATTGCAACAATTAAGAACAACAAAAAATATGTTTTAAAAATCGTAACAAATTAATCAACACGTACAGACGCAAAAGAACAAAGTAGCTTATTTTTATACATGCAAATTATTAAGTTCAATTAATAAAAAAATCTTACTATGTCATAAGTATAGCTGCCGCTCGCGACTCTACGCGGAATCGAAAAAAAAATAATTACAGATCTTCCATACTATTATACATCTATGCCAAATTTCCATCCATACATCCATCTAAACATTCGCATTTATAACATTAGTAAGATTTTTATAAGCACGTCACCAACCTGCTCTTATCCCTACGGAGAGTCAACACAGTGTGTTGACTCTCCGTACACACACTACTCTTCCAGACATCATCAGCCGTCATATCTGAATCCAACTCTTTCTTACGCATATCCTCTTTCACACAATCCTACAAAGGTAGACCAAAGAATGTATGGATGGCTACAAAGGTAGACCAAAGAATGTATGGATACATTCTTTGGTCTACCTTTGTAGCCATCCACATTCAATCTCATTATTTTTACTTAAAGCACGTACGTGCGTATAAAAGTTCCAAGTTTTTTACGTATTACGTCTACTAGATTATTAAGTTAAGGATGTAGGTCAAAATTATACAAACTAAATGTTACAATGCACTATTAAAAGCTTATTAAAAATAGGTAACGAACCCAAAAATGTCTATTACAGGTTGATGATGCCAATCAATAGCTAATAAACAATAAACACAGATCAGAACAATACATTGATAACAGATCGGACAGCTTTCAATTGAAATCCGTTCTAACGATAATCACGTAGTTGAAATTAATTAATACTCTATCCTTGGTAATATGCGTATACCATTGACAAGTCGAGGTCGAGTCATCACGTTTGTGAGCCGAAAAAAAAACTATAGCAACTAATTACTAGACCATGCATCTCATAACTTTGATATAATCGTTCATTATAATCGCTATGAAACTATGACGTCAACATTCGTGAGATGTTCAGGATTAGCTTCAGGTAAGGTATATATTGGGTCAATTCGTCTTACAGTATCACAGTTTTGTGTGAGCTTCACATTTGGCAGTACATATCCAGCTTTAACAGGCATCAAAATGAAACTGGTAACAATTTTTACTATTCTATTATTAAATTGAATTAACCTTTTCATTGAAGAAAATCTTACTCCTCTTTAGGAATAAGATTTTATTAAGGATATATTTTTATTTCCTCTTCAAATATTAACCAGTCCTGATCTTTCATTATTCTGTAGTTTATTTCATTGTTGGTCTTTGTTCGACTGTTTTTATAAATTTAACACGAGTTATTTATTTTGAAGTGACATATCAAGTATTATCATAGTATCTTTTAGTAATAGTTCCGAACTACTAGATATGTTAGTATTATTTCCAACCAAAATAAATTTCTGTTTGATCCCTTCACGCGTTTTTTAAAAAAAAAGGGTCTTGACAGATAGACGGACGGACAACAAAGAGATCCTATAAGGGTTCCGTTTTTTTACTATGAGGTACGGAACCCTAATAATTAAAGCCTCGTAATTTGTAAGTAAATATTTTTATCCCATATCGATGTTCGTTCTTATATTCTTATCCAAATTTTCCCAGTTCATTGTCGCCGCTTTGGTTGCTGTGTGCGCCGCTGGTCGTCTCGAACACCTCGAGCGCTCTTACCTGCCTCCTGACAGCAGCAACAGTCTAGGATTCGGATCCAATGGTCGTTCACAAAACGGCTTCGGTTCCAACGGACAGGGTAGCCAAGGTTTCGGCTCCCATGGTTCCTCTGGCAACTCCTTCGGCTCTGGTTCTAACGGTGGTTCTCACGGCTCCTTCGGTTTGAGTGGAGGTTCAAATGCTGGCTTCCGTTCAAACGGCAATGGTTTCGATTCATCCAATGGAAACGGATTTGGTGCTGCCACATCAAACCAGTACTTGCCACCTAATTATGGATCAGCTGGGTCTAATGGCTTTGCTAGGACCGGATCTTCTTCTTTCAGAGGTATGAACTTTTAATAAGATATTTTGTTTCTCACTTGTACTTACGTAACAATTCTCTGACTATTGCTAACTTTACAGCCCCTAGCACACAGTACGGTACCCCATCCTTTGACAACGGGTTCGGCGGACAAGGCGGCTCTCAGTATTCGCAGGGCCCGGGTAACAACGCACAGGGCCGTACTCAACCCGGCGCCGGCGTCAGTAACCAGTACCTGGCGCCACGCTCCAACTCCTTCCAGAACATTCCTCAGCAAAGCTTCGATGAGCAGTCCGGCTACCACTACTAATGGACATCATCACTTTGAAACCTCTTAACTTGATTATGTTATTTGTATATGAATATAACAATACTCACTATATTTTTGAATTTTATTTTATGAAAATAGAGAGAGAAACTTTTTGACATGTTTTACGTTATACAAACTACAAAATTATTAAATTATTATAGTAGTTACTTTTAACGATGCTGTGTTTATAGGATGAACTAGTATGCATCGTACTTATTAAATTTGTATGAAAATGGATCACACAGTACGTGAGTAATGGTTTTTTTAAAATCGAAGCCAAGGTTACTGTGAAATCCTAGTTTGTTAATCTCCAAATTGGTACTCTAATTTTATATTTCTAAACATACATTTATACTAACTTTTGAAATTGTGTTTTCTTAAGTTTAGTTACATTTTAATAATTAAATATCGTATTCAGTTAAATAGAAAATCGAGCTAACCATATTTCAAGGTTCACGATTTGCAAATTTAAACTTCAAATATCAAAATATAATTTATTTAATGAATTTTTAAAATACCTGGATTTAATAATTGTTTAACTAAATTAAAACTCAAAGAGGGATTTGTTTTTTTTTTATTTTGGTCACCTGTACCATTTATTTTTGGTACAGTTCGGTTCAGTAGTCTTAGCGAGCGCTATATTTATTTTTAAAACAAATTAGATTTTTTCTTATAATGTCTTGTTTATGAAATTGTTATATTATATATTGTCCAAATTTATACAGTAATGTGTGCAACAAAATTGTAAAATTATGCTACATTTGCCTGTAAAGGACCACATTATAACCTTTAACATACTGAGTAAACTTGACTAAATAGACATTGTTAGGAAGAAAATCCGACATTGTGCCGGTGTACTGGCACCGACAACCTCACTAAAATGTCGACGTATTTGTCCCCTCACTAATCATTCTGACACTTGACTTGGTAATAAAAGCGCGTCATTCCCGCCAAGTGATTCTAACTAATAATGTCTAAAAATATAAATTTATATCTTTATTCTAAAATCGTGTGCGACGAGCTTTTAAACCGTAAATACAGTAATATTTTGCTTATTTAAAATGCATTTTTATTCGTGCAAAAACTACTTATTGAATTCTCAAGTACCAATTACACTTTAAAGATTAGAAAAACATTCTTATTGGATGATGTCAAGCAATAAGTTTTCATAATCCAGAACTGAGTTTGACCTTGATTTTAAATGATATCTGTAGACATTGTACATTAACATTTAAACGCATAATACGCTGCGCCGAAAATAATTTTCGGCATCGGTGAAGTCTGCAGCGGTGGGCCACACTTATTCACATGCTTTGCCCAATTGGCTCTACGGGGCTAGACAAAGTGCATTAGCTTTGAAGCGATTCCATACTTCTTTACATTGAAGTTCGTTTTGGAATCGTTTCTTATCGAATGTACTTTGTGTAGCCCTTTTGGACCTACATATGCAGACACCGGCTGGGCGCTTGAACAGCTGCTATAAAAAATCAATTAAATATTTTTTGTCTTATCAAACAAAGTTAATATGGCTTTTTTGTTTTGTTATCGCTTATAGACAACATAGCAATTATGAAAAGGACAGATGAATAATAAATTGTAAGTAGATGTAAATAAATTCAATAGTCAAATAGCAACTAATAACAAAAGAAGGCAATTTGTCGATTATTACCTTCTTTTGATGGATCCACTCTTCAAGCACCGATTGGGTATCTACCTAATAATAAATCAATGAAGATAAATTCACATGTGAGTAGAAGTTTCCACTTTTGAAAAGGATCCTAAAGGATTAAGGAAATAAATAATTGAAATTTTGATGATAAATTGTATCTTTAAATTTTGCATAGGGTTTTAAATTGATGGAGAATTTTTTTTTGATTAATGGTGTTCGAATATTGACAACTATCTAAAAGTTGTGATAACTAAAATTAGTCCAATGGTACGCGAGAAACTTAGAGTATTGTCAGTTTTCTGTTTGATTTTACAGGATGGATATCTCAATGCTAAATTAATGCCCAACTTCTAATATCACTTAGCAGGCAGTATAATCCAGAAGTACCCTGCGATGTTTTTTTTTTCAGAATGGAATTTTTGGAATAAAAACAAAAATTACAATTAATAATACAAGTAAATATATTCAAGTACATAACATTGAGAGAATACAATGACATTAGCTAAGCGGTTACAAATTAATTATGTTCATTAGTAGTGGTAGCCAGTCTGCTCGTCGAAGCTCTGCTGAGGGATATTCTGGAAAGAGTTGGAGCGTGGTGCCAGGTACTGGTTGCTGACGCCGGAGCTGGGTTGAGTACGACCCTGCCCGTACTGACCAGAGCCTTGCGAGTACTGAGAGCCGCCCTGTACTCCGAGTCCGTTACTACCAAACGATGGAGCACCATATTGGGTGCTCGGAGCTGTAAAAGTAGAATTCAAAATGAGTACATGGTTGCAAAAGTGATTGGAGAACAGAAACCTGTGGGATGTGTGTGGACCACACCAAATGGAAATCTTTGGTCTCTGCCTACCCCTGTGGGTTATTATTGTTGTTGCTGTTAATGTACAATTGTAGTATAAATATCAATGCCATCTACAGATACGTTGTAATAATAATTTCGAAATCGTACCTCCTGAAGAAGATCCACTTCTGGCAAATCCGTTAGATCCAGATGTGCTATAATTAGGTGGCAAGTATTGGTTGGATGTGGCAGCACCAAATCCGTTTCCATTAGATGAACCGAAGCCATTTCCGTTTGAACCAAAGCCAGAATTGGTACCACCGTTCGAACCGAAGGCACCGTGAGAAGCGCCGTTGGAGCCGGAGCCGAAGGAGTTGCCGGAGGAACCATGGGAACCAAAACCTTGGCTACCCTGTCCGTTGGAACCGAAGCCGTTTTGTGAGCGGCCATTGGAACCGAATCCTCGACTGTTGCTGCTGTCGGGAGGCAAGTAAGAGCGTTCGAGGTGTTCGAGACGACCAGCGGCGCACACAGCTATTAAAGCGGCGACAATGAACTGAAAGAAGAACATTTAATAATTAACGAGAATAAAATTAATAATACAATTACTGAAAATCATCTA